ATGTAAATGCGAAAACGAATATTACGATCACCCTGGTGTGTGTATGTGTGTGTCTGTCTGGGTATTTCAACTCGGCACCCAAGAAAGCTCCGGCGCCAAAACTTTGCCGATGGATTCCCCAGCCATGTGCCACCCCTGGACCGCGACATCAACCTTCACTCGAGTAGGCCCCGTGTACGAGAGGGTTAATTTTTTGGCGGGAAAATCGCTAACTTAGGAAGCAGAAAAGCTAGAAAACTGAAATTTTAAGGTTATGTTCCCCGTCCATATGGAGTTCATTGATTTCAAATTCAGCCCCCACGCGTGCGTGATACCCGCATATGGTCCCGTGGGAGTTCCCGGCGCGAAAATCGCAAACTTGGGAAGCAGGAAAGTTGGGAGGCTGAAATTTTCAGGGATTGTTCCCAGCTCCAGTACAACTTAAAATCGTCGAACTCAGGCCCCAGACGTGCGCAGTTTCACGTGAGATTTTCTGGCGGGAAGAGAGGAAGGCCAGGAGGCTGAAATTTTCAGGGAATGTTTCCAGCACGTGTACAATTTGAAATTAACAAATTTAGCCCCCAGGAATTCGAGGCTATCGCGTATGGCCCGGTGAAACTTTTTGTCGGGAAAGTTGCTAACTCGGTAAGCAGAATGATTTTTGCTATTCTATTGCTGGAAATTCCAGAGCCGAGAGCGCAAGAACGCAGCCGCCATTGCCTGCAATTGCAACCAAAAGGATTTAGCTTGCTCGACCGAGAACTGAGTTCGAATTGGGCTACGAAATGAATCCAAGTAGTACGTTTATACTGACCCAACCATTCGTACTTTTCTCAACTCCGATACTGCAGCACTATCGATTGGCAAATAGTTTCTGCGTCACCTTTCCGGGCAAAGATAAATGTGTTAGTCGCGTAGTGTGGTTTTAAATGCATATTTTGTATATTCGCCTTTTTCACTGAAGGAATAGACATGGTAACACGGACAACGCGCTCGTTGCCAGCTGTGGTATGAATCAGTTCTTTTTCCTTGATGACATTTTCCCATGGCTTTAAATTTCACGTTATCGTACATATACCTATTCCAATTAGGAATTTCCTGATTTTTCCTCAGTGACCTATCCACACTTCTCGACATCAAATTCCAAATTCACTTTGGCACTCGACTTTCCTGAACGATTGCCATTTTCTTCGCGGGAATCTTTCGCTGAACTGTTTTCATCAGCGTCAATTTATTTTGTATGCTTTTTCTGAATTTTACATTTCAAGATTACCAAATTTCCGTGGTTGATCAAGTTTCTCACTTCCGTTAGATTCAAACTTTGTGGAGTTTCGTCTTTTCAAAAAATTTATAATTTCAGCTTTTGATCGATGGCCAATCCCGACTAACTTCTCAATTTCATATGCTCAATTTGTATGACTTGTCCTTCCGATACTTCATTCTGGTACCGACTTCGTTCTATTTCCTTTGCGAGATTTGATCGCACTGTGAACTGCTTCCAGTCGCAATCTTCATGCATTGTACGCTTTCGAACATTCCTCTATTTTAAGGTTTATCAAACTTCTAGGATTGATCTAATATTCATTACTGCTAGTTATCTAAAACTTTTTACAAGTTCCGTTTAGGTACTTCTAGAATGTGGACGTACCGGTTGCCGATTTATTACTTTCCTTTGCAAAAATCTTTTCACTGAACTATCCGTAACCCTTAACTCCAATTAAAATTGGTCAAATTTCTACAGATGATCAAATTTCACTGTATCATTCTATCGCTTCAAAATTTTTTAAAGTATGCCTGCTCCGGTTTTTATTCGGTGACTTTTCTGTATTTGCTTCTCAGCAACTACGGATCGGTTCGTTCTACACGCTTCTACGTTTTACTACATGTTTGTGATTTTCTTTTCTTTATGTGATTCATGGAACGGTTCCCAGTCACGATTAGTATGTATTACACTTCCGCAACTTCTGATTCAAATTCTTCTTGACCATATTCCGTGGTTCGTCATATTTCTTTCATTATTTGGCTGCCCTAAGCACTTTAAAATTACTGATCGTTTACTTTCTGGCTTTGTTTTGAATCTGTGACTCGAATCTCAACAGCTACTTAAATACCTCCCGCTTTGGCTACCACTGTGAATTGTGAACCATTTTCACTCGACTACATTACGAATTTTATGCCTTTCCCAAATTATGACTCTTAAGTTTTTATAAAAGTTATTCTTCATAAATTTGCCCAGCACTTGGCTTCCAGCACATATTACGCGGATTCTATATGCTCTTACTCTTGGAACTAAGCCTCTGAAATATCATCACACGCTATATCACAAAGGTTCCCCTCCTTCTACTCAACATTCCCACCTACCTCTCCCCTCTTCTAGTGATTTATAGGCGGCGTTTGCCTTTTCCAAGTGATTTTCGTTTGTCTCTTCCAAATGATTTTCCACGTGGTGGTTAGGGAGTTGTGCCGATGATTTCCACCCTTTATTATTGCCTATGTTTACAGCTAAAGGATGAAAACACAGGCAGACCAACTCCTCCACACTTCTCTTTACATCACACGGTTTGTACCATATTAACAGCCCTATCACCTTCCCCCATCGTAATCTATCAACTAACCCTACCCAACATAAAAGTTTATGAATCATTTCCACTCCACTTTCCCAAGGCTCTTCAGAAATTACCGTTCGGCTTACCAATGGCAGGAAATTATCTATCAATTTAACCCTCTCCTGCCGCTCCATTTGGCCCGTTCACTTATGCTCGGCCTACTAATGGCTGTTACTTATCATTCCACAATGCCTTACACGCACCGTAAAGCCTAGCCAACATCCCAATATACAAATAATGTTGCTGTACACACATACAAACACACATATGCATATACACACATACATGCATGCATACATACAAACATACGTACACAAATACATACACACATACATACATACACACGTACAAATACGCACACTCGGTCCACGGAATCTCACAGTGCCTGCCCAGAACCTTTTGCTGTCCGCGTAAATGCAACTTGAAAACAAACAAACCGACGAGTTCGAAATTTTCAGACCCTAGTGCATCACGTAATGCGCTTTAAACAACACGAAATTTGCCTTCAAAGTCTACGCTCCTCAGAGAAACTCATTGCAGCCCTGATTAATTCCCTGTTGCTTATCAGTGTAACACTTCATCGAATTACCACTCGTGGTTCTTTTGTGAAGCACCATTGGGACTTAAAATATTCCGCTTTTTGTCAGAATTATTGCCGAACAAATTAGTTTAAGAAGCTTTTATGAAGCAGCTGTGCAACGTAGACAAGAAAAATATGTTCAATATTTCAACATATCTCAAACAGACAAATAACTACAATCTTAAAATCACAATTAGTGTTTCAAGAAAAAAAAAAAAAAAAGAAATCGCATGGCAAAGTGTACGGGTCGCTGCTGGATATAAACAAACCAGAGCTAAAATCTGTACATTCTCAGAACTGTCTCCCACATTCTTTGAGTAGATTTTACCAAAACTTAGAGATACAGCGTTTATAACTTTCCATCTAAATATAAATGCATGCGCTAGACTGCATGCGACTTTGCTCCGAAGTCCAAATAACATTCTTTAAAAACCCCAGCAGCGACGTTCCAGGCTTGACGGTGCGATCAAGCGTTTTTGCAGGATTCGTTTCTGTACAAGGATCCCTATATTGGGATATGACTGCAGTGTGGGAATTCGTACAGTTGATGCGCCTACACACGAAGCATGACGGTTAAGTAAAGGCTCGTTTTACACCTGACTGCCGTTAAACAGCAAGCAACCTTAGGAAAGTACTGTTTCGTGATCAGTGAGTCAATTAGATGCCAACATTGTCCAGAAGTAAACATTCACTTGCGCGCATATGCGTCTTAGGCGTGCCTTAAAGCTGAAACTGAAATACTTAGGTCCTACATTAGTACAGAATATTCTCGCAAAGTTTCAGTTTTCCAGCATGGCAGGTTGGCAACATCAATTTTCGCCACAAGCATCACTGACGAGCCCGAACGCGCATGTGCCAAAGGTCATTTCAGGCTTATGCGCCAAAAATGAAAGACCAATATTCTCGAGAAGTTAGAGCGCTCCAATCAGCCTAGTTCCCTAAATAAATGGCATTTTGCCCGGGATGATGAAACCTTAACTTCGATGTGTTCGTACTTTAAAGACGAACTTGAAATCCTTAACTCACATAAAAAACGGACAATCTCTGCGAAATTTCAACTTCCTAATTTGTCTGACTCCCGGAATTATTTCCCGCTAAAAATGTACATGTTTTTCGAAACGTCTATATGTGAGACCCAAGCATATGTGAGCGCTGATTTTAAGGTAATCTGTATTGCACATGGCAGTGGAAGATCCTGTGAAATTTCGGCTTCCCAGCTCCCAAAAATATTGAGTTGAATGCAGGTGAAAAAAACTCGCACACACAAAAGCACATATACAGTGACAGTTTCTCGGCAATATGCGTTTTAGCATTTGCATAGAGATGCGAAGACGCATAATGAATGATAGGAAAATATGGCCGAATGAGGAGATGTTCAGTGAAATAGGCAGAATATACGCGCATAGACTAAATTAGCATTTGCAAAAAAAATGAAATGAATTAAACCTAAAACGGGAGAATCGAATGCTGAAAGATCTGCTATCGCAACAAGACTTGAACAAGCCAAAAATATGCTCACAGTAATTAACAGAATGCTCAACATCAAAACATGTTTAGAACAATCCTGGGAAAGACATCCCGATTTACTCATGAAGATAATAATAACAACGTAACAAACTCAAAAAAAAAAGAATCTTTAGAAAATTCATGAAAGAAGTAGCACACCTAACTAGTACAAAATAAGCTCAATGCGAGAACGACTAAAGTAAAGTTTCTTCATTCCGCACCATGAATGATCGCGATGTATGGTTTAACTGTTTTACGCACTGTTACCATAGTAGAGATTTACAATTCCATTTTGATTTTTTTTATTTTTGTTTCAGCTCGGCAACTTTCTAACGCCGTCTTTTTACCTGTCTTATACTGCTGTTCGATGCTTCATCATCATCGCCATCACTGAGTCCAACATTCTCATTATAATTAACATTTCGCTGAACACTTCGCCGCAGGCGAACCCGCCTGTGATTGTTTCCATTCTGTTCAGAAAGATTTCGCAAACTTCGGCCTTTCGCCTCCGGTGTCCTCAAATCTTGCTCGCTCAACGATGTTGAAGCAGAACTCTGATCGCTCCTGCAATTTCTCTGAGAAACTTGTCGCTGCCGTTTACTACTTATCTCGATGTTTTCTAAACTATCCATCTTCCGTCGCTTTCGGGATCTGGAAAATACAGTTTTAAAGCACACACAAACAAAAGAACGAGCATATGTACATCGCGTAATACTAGAACTCCTGTAATGTAGCGTGAATCAGTGAAAGTGATCTAAGAAGTCAGTGCAGCAGAAACTGGAAGGCCTAATCCAAAAAGCAATTACTTTTTGCTCCTTTTAGAACCATTTGTACGGATACTCCATGTTGTATCACTCACTGGATCGTCATTTAACTCAGAATCACTCGAT